CTTCCACCGAGTGCTGACCAGCAGGGCGCGTGGGATATCCTCGAAGCCCTCGCTGGCGGCCCCGAGCGAGCCTAGGGCCCGCTCACGATGCTTGCCCCGCACAGCCCAGGGCCCCTTGAGTCTCGAGCGCTCACTCCAAGCTCCGAGCTCGCGCACAACGTCCAGGGCCCAAGAGGCCGACGTCACACCAAAGCCCCACGGCGACGCATCGTAGCAGTGGACCTCGGTGCGCCAGGGGAGCTGGATGTCCACCTCCACCAGCGGCAGGAGTGCCAGCGCCCAACGGAGCTCGCGAACCACTGAGGCCCACAGGGGCTGACGACGAAGGTAGCTGCCCTTGATGAAGAAGTACGTGGCGTTAAAGATGCTGAGCAGCTCGCGCTTCAGCGTGAAAATGTGAATAAGGTGTCCGAGGATGTGCTCAAGGTCCCTGCCACAGACCAGAGGGCTGGTGTTGAGCAGATGCCGAAGCCCCAGCACAGCTCGCCAAAACTTCTTCGGGGTGGGCCTCCACCGCGAAAGGTTCACCAACTCAAATCCGATGAACGCTGGTGTGTCGGACGCCGGGTCCAGAGAGGAGACCACCCCGACATGCGCCAGTGCAGCCTTCATGCTGTCCACCTGCTCCTGGGCCAGACCAGCATCGGTAGCGAAACAAACGAAATTGTCGATGTAGAGAGCGTCGCCACCCTTGTGGATGCCAAAGTTGGCCGACTTCATCTCGTCGACGACCCAGGGCAACTGCACAGGAAGGTTACCGAAGCGGTGGAGGTGAACGCGCTGGATCAGGCACGTGGCCCAGCTCCACCCCATGGGAACGACTCGCACGCGACACTGCACGAGATGGTGCCGTGACACGTTCCGACGCTGCTGCCAAGCTTTGTCCAGAAAGCGGGCCTCGACGGGCACGAGTCCGAACAAGTGGCGGAAGGCCTCGGGGAGGGCGTATTGGTAGAAACAACATTCCACGTCACCTCCCGCCATGTGTAACTGACTGTCGGGTGGGATACTCGCCAGTGACTCTCCAGAAGGCAAGGAACATGTCAATGGAGTGTGGCACCAGCAATTGGCACGTCTGGTGTCGAAGATCAAGCGTAGGTCACCCGATTTTTTCAACGCAAAGAAGATCCCGACCTCCTCGGAACTGGGGCCGACCTCGATGATGTTGGCGTCTAGGAGGCTGGAAAGAAAGAAACCGTAGTCACGACCCTGCTGGCGAAGCGTGGGATCGCACGCAACCTTGGCTGGAGCATCGCATAGAAGAAGATTACGCTGAGCATCAGGACGCAAAATTTGCTCAGGAGTGTCCAACATGAGCTGCAGGTCGGGGCCCGCCACGGAGCGCAGGTCGACGCGCCCGCCCCCAAGCTGCGGCAGCGCAACAGCGCCGCGTCGGAATCTGCCAAAGGTACCGGCGGCTGCGTCATCAGAGTAGCCGCTGTCGCCACCGCGGAGCATCTGGCATGCCCCCGCGGGTGTGAGATCTTCTGGGGGAGGGCGTTGCGTGGCACGAGCATACTGACGCGCAAGATGCTGGATGGCAGACCGCTGGGCCGCCGAACATCTCGCTGCCGTGGAACGCGCCCGCCCTGAGCCCAACTCACCAAGGGCAGCGAGACCTTGCCGAAGCCAAGCTTGCTGCGAGCGTTTGCGCCGCGCCCGACGACGTTGCCCGACCGAAACAGCAGCAGCATGGCCGAGAAGAACGTCATTGAGAGCCTGGCCACCAGGAAAGGGAAGCATGTCACGCCCCTGAAGATCAGCACAACTGTCATCCTTGCCCCCGCCATCCACCTCGGCAGGGGCGCTCCTCGTGCAAGGCAGGCCACTGGCAGGAGCCAGGCCAGTGGCCGCCGTGGCGGGCGAGGCTACTTGCGAAGGCCGTTGCGGCCCTTGGCTTTGGCCGCACCGCCCCCCGCGCCCCCGGAGCCCTCGTCCGCCACCTCGCCCAGGCCGCCCGCCAGACGGCGCTCCTCGCGCCCCTTCCGCCTCTCCTTGAGGATGGCGGCGCTGGAGGCCATCTCGCAGGCCACGTACGACTGCAGCTCGGGGCAGACCAGGGCGACGCCCCGCGACTTGTGAGCGCCCAGGAAGATGCGGCGCTCGTCGACCCACTCGGCGGCGGAGGCACCCGCCTCGCGCTCCATGAGCGTGTGCGAGTAGACCTCCTCCCAAAGCTGGCACCTCCTGCTGATGTGCTCGGCGATGATCAGGTTGCCGAAACTGAGGAAGTCGTAGCAGAGGGCCCACTCCAGGAGCTCGCTCAAGAAGAGGTGCTCGTCCACGCCGTTGTCCGACATGGTGGGCCCAATGGTATTCCGCCACCAGTAGTGCCGTTGAGTAGGGGACATCCCAGTCTCTGAGAGAGCCCTGCAGAGCCACACAGCCGTCCGAGGACCTGAGATGCGCCAGTCGGAGATGCTGATGGAGTCCAGCTGCTTGCACACGTCCTGGAAGGTAGCCTCCCGCCTGCCGTGCGAGTCCACGCGCACGGCGAGAGTGCGGACGTCCTGCTCCTTCGAGTCGACGTCGGCGCCCTTGGTGAAGGAGTCGGCCCGCGCGATGCACATGAATAAGCCGCCCGCGATCGCGATGATGCCGCGGTCGCCCTGGATGAACCGAGCCCCCACCAGGTCGCTGACGTCGTCGCCGGCGGCCTTGCCGAAGCGCGACTCCAGAGCGCACCACCGTACCGGAGGTCCGCCCGCGCCGGCGGCGCCAGGGGCATCCACTGCCACGAGAGCGGCAGCACCAGGTGGCCCACCCGCTGGAGCCGCCAGCGGCGGCGGAGGGCCGTCGCCCGCGTCGACGAACGCGAAGCCCTCGTCGGCTCGGATCCTGGCGAACTCGTCGCGGCCCTCCTGGATGAAGCGGTCCTTGTTGGCCGCCAGGTAGCCAGCATCGAACCGATAGAGCGTGGCTGCGGCAGGCATGCCGCCGAGGAGACCGCCTCGCGGCCCGAGCACGAACACCTCGCCACCTGAGTCCAGGAGATCCTCCTCGCACAGATCCCCGTCGGGCGTGGCGACCAAGTACGTGCATCCTGGCCTATTGGGAGGCCTCTGCAGCACCAGGCGCTCGTGGAACAAGTCTGGGTCCACGTCGTACGAGATCAAGAGACGCTGACCCACACGGAGCCCCTGCAGCTGGGCTGCAGCTGCCGCCACCAACGCCATCCAATGGCGGACGGACAGCAGCTCGGCCTGACACGAGCAGCCACAGGAGCGAGGCGAGGCACGCCGCGATGCCGACGGCCACGCCAGAGACGAACGCCCACGTGGACGCTGGTGCAGGCGCCAGCAGCTGGGGCCCGCAGCGGGCCAACTGGTCGCGGAGGACCGCGACTATGGCCGTGTCGGCCTCGCTGGTGCGGCAATGGCACTGGCAGCCGCGCCAGGCGGCGATGAGCCCTGCGATCCCTGGGCCCTGGGGAAGGAGGGCGAAGCAGGCCTTCAGTGCGTCCATGGAGTGGACGCCCCTAATTGAACTTGAAACCAGAATGGCAATGGACATTGGTGGTCATTGGCGAGAGCAAAAGCTGGACAATAATAATAATAATATTGGTAGTAATAATAATAATAATAATACGACTACTACAACTACAACTACAACTACTACTATTACTACTACTACTACTACTACTACTACTACTACTACTACTACTACTACTACTACTACGACTACTACTACTACTACTACTACTACTACTACTACTCTACTACTACTACTACTACTACTACTACTACTACTACTACTACTCTACTCTACTACTACTACCTACTACACTACTACTACTACTAATACTACTACTACTACTACTACTACTACTACTACTACTACTACTACTACTACTACTACTACTACTACTACTACTATACTACTACTACTACTACTACTACTACTACTACTACTACTACTACTACTACTACTACTACTACTACTACTACTACTACTACTACTACTACTACTACTACTACTACTACTACTACTACTAACTACTACTACTACTACTACTACTACTACTACTACTACTACTACTACTACTACTACTACTACTACTACTACTACTACTACTCCTCCTACTACTACTCCTATCCTTATTCCTTATTAGAATATACTCCTACTCCCCCCTCAGGCCGGCAGATAGGGGCCCCATCCGGGTGGTCCCAGCCTAACCTGTAAAAAAACAATACAAAATCAACATGTTTCTTATTTTTTCCTCTCGACATGGACGTCCTGTCGTCCACGGCGATAATCCATTGCAAAAAATACCACAAAGAGCACACGCGCGCGTTCATGTCAGAATCCTACCGAACACCGTGTGTTTGCAAGCATTTCAACATAAAAACATCAAAAACCCAATGTTTTTTTCACAAAAATTGTACAAATTTCCGCCCGGGCTCTCTTGCTGAAATCATAGGAAAACCATAGGAATCTTAAGAATTCTGTCAAATCCAGCGATTTCACGTCATCGCGCGGTGCACTCGCGATGCTCTGTCATGCACCCAGGCCGCGAATCCTGTGCAAAAAATACCACGCGGGCGACATGCGCGCGCGTCGCCGCGAGCGCATGCTCAAATCCTTCTAGAGTCGTCGCCGTCATTGGCACCGTCGCATGGACGTCCTGTCGTCCACGTCGCAAAATGCATGGCAGGAACGGGACGCGGCGCACACCCCGCGCCCGCCCATCCAATCCGTCCCATTCTAATCTGCAAAAGACAATTCACAATTTTTGTTTTTCTTGTCAACATGGTCGTGCTGTCGTCACGTCGCAAAATGCGTGGCAGGAATGGGACGCGGCGCACACCCCGCGCGAAGGGGTGACATGTCGCTCTCGCCTCGGCGCCGCGCACCAACGTTTTTCGTCTCAGCATGGACGTTCTGTCGTCCACGTCGCAAAATGCTTGGCAGGAATGTGATGCGGCGCACACCCCGCGCCCGCCCATCCAAACCCCCCCGTTATTTTAAAAAAACAATACAAGTTGGGGCCTTCTGGACGCCTCCTAATGCAATCCCATGAATCGTATGGGCGCATGGGGTCCCTTGGGGCCTCCTGGGGCCTTCTCGTGAGGCCTCTTTGTGTTTGCAAGCATTTCGACATAAAAACATCAAAACCGTACGTTTTTTGCACACAAGTTCTACAATTTTCTTGCCCACGACGCTCTCTTGCTGAAATCATAGGAAAACCATAGGAAACTTAAGAATTCTGTCAAATCCAGCGATTTCACGTCACCGCGCGGTGCACTCGCGATGCTCTGTCATGCACCCAAGCCGCGAATCCTGTGCAAAAAACACCACGCGGGCGACATGCGCGCGCGTCGCCGCGAGCGCATGCTCAACTCCTTCTAGAGTCGTCGCCATCATTGGCACCGTCGCATGGACGTCCTGTCGTCCACGTCGCAAAATGCATGGCAGGAGTGGGACGCGGCGCACATCCCGCGCCAAAGGGTGACATGTCGCTCTCGCCTCGGCGCCGCGCGCGTTTTCCAGGGGGGTCCCATCCTAACCTCCAAAATACAATACAAAAACATAGTTTTTCCTCTCAGCTTGGACGTCCTGTCGACCACGTCGCAAAATGCGGGCAGGAATGGGACGCGGCGCATACCCCGCGCCCGCCCATCCAATCCCTCCCATCCTGATCTGCAAAAACCAATACAAAATGCGTGGCAGGGGTGGGACGCGGCGCACACCCCGCGCCCGCCCATCCAAACCTTCCCATCAGAAAAAACAGTAAAAACTTGGGGCCTCCTGGACGCCTCCTTGTGCACTCCCATGAATCCCATGGGCGCCTGGGACCCCGTGGGGCCTCCTGGGGCCTCCTGGGACCTCCTGGTGTTTCGTGGGGCCTCCTGGGGCTTCCTCGGGCCCCCTCGGGCCTCCTGAGGCGTCCTGGTGTCTCCAGGTGTTTCCTGGAGCCTCCTGGGGCCTCCTGTGGTTTCCTGGGGCATCCTGAGGCCCCGTGGGGCCTTCTGGAACCTCATGGGCCCTCCTGGAGTCTCCTGACGCTTGAGGGCTTCCTGAAGCTTCCTGGGGCCTCCTGAGGCGGACCCAGCCGTGGCTGCGGGAGCGCTCCAGATGGCTAAGGGGTGACGAACGCCCCAAAAAACGAACCTGCTGTGATTCCCGACCCGTCTCATTGAGTGGTGTTCTGGCCTCAGCTCCGGCTTCTGACGGCCGTTCGGGACGATTCTGGCACCCCTGCAGCGCCCTCGGCGAGGCGCGGCTGCCTGAGCGCATCCCGAGGCGGGGACGACTCCATCGCAGATCAGGTTGTTTCGTTCAAGTCGTCGTCGTCGTCGACGTCGTCGTCGTCCTCGTTGGCCTCGTCGTCGTCGTCTACTACTACTACTACTACTACTACTACTACTACTACTACTACTACTACTACTACTACTACTACTACTACTACTACTACTACTACTACTACTACGACTACGACTACGACTACGACTACGACGACTGCTACTACTACTACTACTACTACGACTACGCCTACTACTACTACTACTACTACTACTACTACTACTACTACTACTACTACTATCACCACCGCTACTACTACTACCTACTACTACTACTACTACTACTACTACTACTACTACTTCTACTACTACTACTACTACTACTACCACTACTATTACAACTACTACTACTACTACTACTACTACTACTACTACTACTAGTACTACTACTACTACTACTACTACTACTACTACTACCACCACCACTACTACTAATATTACTAGTACTAGTAGTACTGCAAGTACTTGTCATAGCACTACTTTTTCTGTTACTACTACTACTACTACTACTACCACTACCACTACCAACACCACTACCACTGGTACTACTACTCCTGCCTCTTGGGGCCTCCTGGGCCCCCTTGGAGTGTCCTGTCAGACCGTCGGGTTTCCTCCGGCCACCTCTGGCTTCCTGCGGTGTACCGGGCCATTCTCGACTCGTCTGGCAATGCGTGCGCGGCATTCAACACGCGCTCGCCAGTTCCCGTCGGCAACCGCCATCGCGGCCGCATCAGCTGTACCAAACCGGCTGGCCGGTGTGACTTCGGCCCCCAGTTGTGCCAGCTTTGCTTCTTATGTTGTGGGAGGGCGGGGGGGACTGGGCATGCCATGCTTGACTCGCTCGAGCTGGCTAGCTTGACTCCTACTCCTACTCCTACTCCTACTCCTACTCCTACTCCACATACTACCACACCACCACACCACATATCACCACACCACCACCACCCCAAAACACCACCACCACCACCAACACCACCACCACCACCACCCCCACCACCACAAAATACTACTACGACTACTACTACTAATACTACTACTACTACGACTACTAAGGACTGACTACGAACCACTAGCCTACTACGACTACTACGGATACTACTACACTACTACTAATTAATTACTACTACACCACTACTACTACTACTTACTTTTTACTTACTACTTTTACTACTACTCTAATACTATTACTACTACTACTTCTACTTACTCCTACTACTACTATTTACTACTACTTTACCTACCTTTTACTTTAACTACTACAAAATAATAATTAATACCACTACTTACTACTACTACTACTACTACTACTACTACTACTACTACTACTACTACTACTACTACTACTACTACTACTACTACTACTACGTAATACGTACTACTACTATATTAATACTACGACCGCCTTACTACTACTTACTACTAGCAATTTCAGGCACTTCTCGCGTGCGCACCACTTACATACTACTACTACTACGACTACTACTAATACTACTGCTGTTACCACTACTTACGTCTACGACTGCTACAAGGCATTATTTTACTACTACTACTACTACCTACTACTACTACTACTACTACTACTACTACTGCTACTGCTACTGCTACTGCTACTCTACTACTATATACTTACTACTACTACTACTATTACTTACTACTACTCTACTTACTTACTACCTACTACTACTACTACTACTACTTTACTGCGATACTTCCCACTAGAGCCAGTACAAACTACCACTACAGATACTACTACTACTTACGATACTACTACTCTACTACTACTACTTACTACTACTACTACTCAATACTACTATAGATACTATTACTACTAAGACTACTACGGACTACTACTACGCTCCGACTACGAACTACGG